GAATAAAAATAGAAAAATAACTCAATGAGTTCTGATGTAAATCCTATTTCTGAACCAAAACCAGAATCAAAACCCTAAGCTATTAACTTTATAGACTATTTAAGGCAAAAGAGATCAAGTACTAGGAACTCTAGCAACTTATCATATCATGAGCCTAAGTACTTCAAAGCGAGTGACATCAAGGAGGCTTGCTTCCAAATGCAGGATTAAAGCATCCCTTCATCCGGCAAGTCAAGAAATTTAAACTGGGCAATTGCTACTATCTGCATTTTAGATAGCCAAAATTCCTTTGCATGAATGTTGACTGTATTCTGGGGTACACCCTCCAAACACATATATGTCAAGGCCCAACTTGATCCTAGTGTCATAGAATCAGCCACAACGAAAAACCATTGTGTTTAATTACAACCCTTCTGCAGAAGTGAAACTTCACAATACCATTTTTTTTAACATGCCATAACTTTTATTGGCACACAGTCTCCTACAGATAGTTTATGTTGTTGCAGTCTACAGTTTGAGTAGATGCAGAAATTCATTAAGAAAGAAGTGGGAGAAATGTACAGCGAATACTACATATCATTTTACTGATATCTTTTAAGTTAATGAAGCTGGAGAGAAGAAGCAGAAAACAGAAGTCCTAAATGTAATAAAGAGGAACAGCTCCTCTCTGAAAGCAAAAAATGGAATGTAGAGGAGAAAACAAGAGGAATTTGTGCTTTAAATAAGAGGTCATTGATTCACCCTTCTAATTTCCTCTGAAAGTGTTCGAGCATCTCTTGAACTTTTGGGAAGGGGGTAGTTTATAAATAGCAATTCTTAATAACATGGAAGAGACACAAAGCTAGACATCATCATCATTATCATCATAGTTACATCTCCAATAGCCCTGTGCACAATTTAGATTAATATTTTTAGCGGAGCAGGCATACTATATGGTTTACACAGAAGAAATGATTGATGAAGACTGGAATAACCAGGTACTTAGGATTGCATGCACATAATTGTGCTTAATGTTGAGACTATGGTTTGTAAGGAAAGGGGAAAAACATGAGGAGGATTGCTATAGGATATATGAGAAGGATCACTATGGTGAGAAGCTCCCCTATAGGCTCTTCTCCAAATTAACACTAAAACAAAAGATGCCAAGTACATTCCACACAAATTAGTGTAATGGAACCCTGATGCTCTTTTTTGTTTATAAAGACAACCAAATTTTCAGAGAAGGGAAATAGTTTGAACTGTGGTTGGTGGGTCTGCGTAACCCTTTTCCCATGACTACTATTGCTTTGCTCAAATTTCTCCAGTACCAAAATGTTTGTTTTTTAAAATAAGCTTTCAATTGGCATTCTGTTTCACATTACGTACAAGAAAGAGATGGGTGCGTGGAATGGGGGGTGGGGAGTGACTTATATAACTGCAGCGCTCTATTTACTTTCTATTACTGGTCTCTCCAGAAGAAAAGTTGTAAAATATCATCCCCATTCAACTCAACTGGAAATAGATGTACCATTTAATACATTTATTTTCAGTAGCTTATAAAATAATTTATCCAAGTGTGTGTTAAATGACTTGGAGTTGAAGTCTGTCCAAAAAATTGCATCTGGTTTCCATCCGTTCTCATGGGAAACAAGTCTGTACTTCAACTGAAAAAGAAAAAGAAATCAAATACCAGGGAGCAAAATAATAATAATAATAACCCTACAAAGCCATTGGGGAAGTTAGGGTGCTGTGAAAGATGGTTATAGACATGCTCACAACCTTAAATAGATTTCATGTGCCTGATGACGAGAACAAACTAAACCATAAACAAAGCAAATTATATAGCAGAAAGCATTCACAAGAACACTACCTGTGCCAGTTTCCTACTTCACTGCATCCCTGATTTTTCAGTTCCACTCTTATCTTATCAACCTGATGTGAGCAAGGCTTCTGGACTGGGAATATGTCATTGCTGTGTTCTGTTCAAAACATGATACACTCTTGATGCTAATAAAGATAGTACCAGTAGCTGCAGCAGCTGCTGAAAACATTGTCAACATCCCCCTTCACTTTTAGAGTACCATTCTAACAGTTCAAAGTGTTAAAAAGAAAGAGGATGGAACTTGTGCATTTTAACAGGCAACTGCTGGAATATATCTGACAGAGGGAGCAGTTTAGGAATGTTCACACCAATTCACTCCTTTGATGAAAGTGCTGTCTGCTGTTATTTCGGCATAAACCTGTCATTTACCTGTTTTCTAGTAACAGCATAACAGAAGCTTCCTTGAAACTGTATGCTTATTAAAGGGGTCTACACATGATGCGGGTGGCGCTGTGGTCTAAACCACAGAGCCTAGGGCTTGTTGATCAGAAGGTCGGCGGTTCAAATCTCCGCGACAGGGTGAGCTCCTGTTGTTCAGTCCCTGCTCCTGCCAACCTAGCAGTTCAAAAGCACAAAGTGCAAGTAGATAAATAGGCGGGAAGGTAAACAGGGTTTCCATGCGCTGCTCTGGTTCGCCAGAAGGGGCTTAGTCATGCTGGCCACATGACCCGGAAGCTGTCTGCGGACAAAACGCCGGCTCCCTTGGCCAGTAAAGTGAGACGAGCGCCGCAACCCCACAGTCGTCCATGACTGGAATTAACAATCAGGGGTCCCTTTACCTTTACACATGATAAAGAGGAAACGGTGCTGTGTGCACAGCCCTGCTTTCAAAGTCTGGAGCCCCAAAAGTCACTGCTGGAACCAAGAGCAGAAACCTACATGCATAGAGATGCATCATGCAGGGCCCCAGTTTACCTAGAGCTTTACACCTAAAGGCATTTTGGGGGACATCCACATGCATGGTGTCAACATTGGGACATTGGTTCAGTGACAAGGTCTGGGCAAGGGCAAGCTTCCTCTTCAACACATGAGGTCTCAGTCATAACATGAAGGGAGCTACAGACTTCCACAGCTCTTGCTATACAGCAGACATGGGGGCCAAATGCAGTGCCCCCAGGCGTCTATCTGGATATAGCATATCCTGCAACCCTAAGTCTCCTTTCTACTAACCATTTCCAGGGGTTAGTTTATTACAGCAAATATATTAGTCTTATGGCACCCTAAGGACCGGAAAAAAAATTTATATTGTAGGCTTTCATGGACTACAGGCTATTTCATAAGATGCAAAAAGTGTAATCGTAAACTGGCAGATTTATATGCACATGGGTGTAGATAAATATATGTACAATAAGTGGAGGAAAGAGGGAAATGAAATGAAGAAGACTGTGACAATTCAGGCTTGAATGAATATAAAAGAATTACAATGACCATTCACAAAGCAGTGTTGCCAGAAACACGAACTTCCAGACAAAGAACAGCAATTCACTCATCTGATTAAGTGGGTTCCAGCACTCAAAACCTTGCACCATAGTAAAATTTGAGGTGCCACCTTTGTTGCTTCTGCTAGTAACCATGGCAGTAGGAAAATATGTGATAGGCACTGGTACTGAGACAACACTGTCTAATGTTTCCGGGATCCAAAGAGGATTAGAAACAGATGGAGAATATGGGACTGGAAACTGGCACGAACCCACAAGACAGCATTCCCCCTTAAACAATGCTAAGATACCAAGTCTGGTACCAAAGGACAATTTATTTGATCTTTGCTCGCCTAATCCTGTGATAAGCTGACTTTGCCTCCAGCTGTCAGGTAGCAGACACTAGTGACTCATATCCTGTATGGAAGCTGAAACACTAACTCATTCACTATCGGAATAACTCAGTGGAAAGCTCCAAGGATCTTCCAATTTAGGTACCAAATAAAGGCTAAAAACCAGGATTGCTGCCACATTCCACTCCCCATATTGCCCTATTACTGCTCCACACACTTCCTTCCCCACCCCCAAGCTCTGATGAGGAAATCATTCTTGCAAATCTGTCATATGCAAAAACACGTGCACATATAAAAACAAAAGCAGAACAACATAAAAAACAGCAGTAATTCAACTTGTATAATATCAATTTCAAATCCAAAACAGATAACCAGCTGGGGTAGCCATCTTCACTGAGAAGCCACAAGGATTCTCAGTGAAGATGGCTATCCCAGCTGGTTATAAAAGCAAACACCTAAAAGATAACAAAGATAGTGGTTGTCTGATACAAAAAGGAAGGTCCCACCACATTCAAGGTCCATTTCTGGAGGATGCTCTCTCCTGCAGAACAAATAAACTGTTTACAGTGACAAGTACCGGATGCTATTTTACTGTAATATAAACCCTGCCTGAATGATGCACTCTAAAATCTAATTTCCAGGTGTACAGGATGAACTATAGTCAACTCAGTGATGAAGAGGGGAGATGCTCTCAGGTTTCTATTTTTTAGGTACTGTTCATATTCCAAGGCTGAAGCTTCCTTACTGAGAACTGGTCCTAGGCTGAGCTCCAATTTAAAACTCTGGTTTTCTATCACCACTATCATTCCTCCCTAAACCAAATCATTGGATGGAAACACACACAGAGGACACTGACACTTACAAGCAATAGGTAATGCAATCAAACGTTTTTGTCAGGTCTCATACTTGGACACAGAAGCAGATTTAGATTTTGGGGGAGGGGTAGTGGTTTTGATAATGATAGTTCATTCTCTATAGGTTCAGAGTATACTAGTTCATTGCCTTTAGGACATAAAAACAAAGACAAGATACAAGGTTTCAAAGGAAGTATAAGGAGGAAAGGTTACAAATATCACTAAGTTAGGTGAAATTTTAGCTCTGTATTAGCAAGCTAAAAGCTCAGGAGATATTTCTCTACAGGGTGATCTGACAGGTTTTTTGTCATACAAATACACCCAACCATTTTAGTAAAATAATAATAATAAATTAATGATGCCTCTTCAAGCTGCATAACTCAATTACATCGCAAAACATCAAAGGATGCTACCAGGCAAAGGTTGATATACATGCATTCCAACATACAAAAAGAACAATGTGTGGGTTTTCCTTAGAAGTAAGAGTTATTACATTAAAAAAAAAAGCATTTACCTTTGCAGATTCATAGTCAGTTTGCCTGAACAGGTCTTGATCTTGTTTTGTGCTTCCAGGTGAGTCATGCCATCGGCACTTATCCCATCGATACTGAGAACAACGTCACCTATTCCCACGTTTGCATTAGCCGCTTTGCCTCCATCACTCAACTGCAAGGTAACAAATGCAAAGATATAAGTATTAGTTTTTTTAGAAAATTACCATCCAAGAGCATTACCCCTAGAGTTAATCAGAGTTTGTGAAGTTTCTAAGTTGTCATTCAAAAACCAAATGTTACAAACGTTCTTACAATAAGAATTCATTGTAAGGATCAAGTCACGCGATCCCAGCAGGGCATGGTGACCTCTAGAAAAGGGCATTCAGTCTGTACTTTAAAGTCCAGCTCCAACAGTAATTGATGGAGGGGAAGGATTATTTGATTATTTGACCACTGGCAATGTTCACTTAAGTTTTACACAAATTAGCTTCCTGTATGTCAGTAAATAATTGGGTCATGTTGTGCTACAACCATACAATGATCAGTACAGAACACTAACAAGTCATAGAATTATAGAATTGTAGTGTTGGAATGGACTGTGAGGGTCGTCTAGACCAACACCCTACAATGCAGGAAATTTTTGCCCAATGTGGGACTCATACCTGCGACCCTGAGATCAAGAATCTCATGCTCTACAACTATACTGTGTGTAGTACTCAGCATAGGTTCTCTCATGGCAGCAATGTGCTGGTAGGACTGTGTGATTCAAAAGCAAACCCCCTCCTCATCTTGAGGACCATGCCTCCAAGTGCAACTTTAGTACTATGGACCTAGAGTTGTTAGCAAATAGATCTAGGGAAATCGGCATCACCAGTCCACATGAAATTGGGAATGGGAAGCCATCCATAAAGTTGTCAGCGGAGAACAGATTAGAGAGGGCCTTGTGAATACACACCCAACTCCCTGGACCAATTAGGAAACATGCCTGCACATGCCCAGGGCAGGTCAATCACCTTCACTGAAACCAGTAGTGAAAACCAGAAACTTCTTGCATCTCTTTAGAGAGGTCACTCTCATGTTGTGAGCATTGCATCTAGAACTGTAGATCCTTTTTCATTCAACGTGACAAGCTTATTCATGAGTTATAAGTGAAGAAGTAGCACTACAAAATGACATACAAAACTGAAAGTGAGATAAGTGGATCCAGAAACTCGATCAAAGCTGCCGCCATCATCAGCACAAAGTATGGGTGTAGCCATGCATTATCTCTGCATTGATTATGTAAATGGAAGCCCAAACAATATTCTAGGCAGTTCCAGGCAGCAGCCTTCGTACTCTATTATATTACATCAGACATGGGAAACGATGCTTTCTGAGAATACAAGTGGGAGGCAACTAAAATAGGCCCCAAAACTCCTTATATCTAACAACGTAGGAGTTTAAGAAATGTTAATATGAAAGAAGTTCGTGGAAGGAAAGTTTCTCACCCACCTCTGTAGCCACCTTTGTCCACTGAAAAGTTTCTTTGAAAAATTGGGAGTCTCTTGAAAAATGTAGGATGGTATTGGAAACAGCGTATAGGAGATTCTCCTTCCAGTGACCTACTTCAAGTCAACTTATCTTAGGATTCAAGCCCAATTTTGTTTTCTGTGCGTGACTTAGTTGAGTAACACCTGTACTACTAAAAGCTGACTGATACAAATCAGCAAATGCTCAATTTAAAAAAATACCTCTTTTAACAGACACCGAAATGTTGTTATGGTTGGCGCCTTGTGAGGGTGGGGATGCTAAATGCTGAACAAACAGAAGAGAAGTCCTTCTTGGTGACCACCTCAAGATGTACAGGTGAAGGCAATGGAGCAACCAGGAGGGCACGCTCTGTAGAGCTCAATAATTACAGATCACATTTAAAAATGCAGATCTTGCAGTAATAATATGCTTCAAGAATCTGACTGCAAGGAAACAAATTTTAGTAGATGTAGATCGTTGCAAATGCTATCAATTGATGTTGTGCAGAAAGGCTTCTGTCAGCAAAATAGGATGAGACCTAATTCTCCGTGGTGTCCCCTCCCCTATGCAAGCCCCCTGCATCCTCCTCCCCTCAATCTCCTCTGCATTAACCACCCCCCAAAAAAAAACACCTCTGGAGCAGATTTAGGGGCTGTGGGGACTGTGGGAGGGGGAGGGATTCACCAAAAATTGTCCCCTCCTTATTCCACTGTTTTCTGAGCAACAACCCAACATACAACCCTTTTTACTCTTTTATTTTGATCAAAATTCATTTTAAGGTATATATTGGTATTATTAGGCAGCAACAGCCAGAGAGAACCTCAACATTAAGTCGAAATCCATGCCCTTTAACTCAACTATTTAACATTTTAAAATTTAGATCAAATTAACCGGCAAGGGGAAAATCAGCATCTCTTGCTTGAAGAGAATGAAAATAGTTCAGTAATTATTCAGCAGCAAGTGAATGAATAGAACCGCCACTGGGAACATGAATAAAATCTTAAAAGAATATAAAGATGGAAAGAGCAAGTTATCCTTTCCATTCAGCCTGCCAATGTAGCATTATTCCCTTCTGTATGTTCGCATATGCTTCTGTTCTGCCTAGTTTCAAGTGTCTCACGGCATGGGCCTTCCATACCTCTCTCTAATAATTTATTGCACTGCTGTACTGCTACATAGACCTCACTGTTGATAAATTAATTACCCCTGCCCCATTCACATAAAGAGCATTCGGTCTTGGAGGGGAGAAATTTCCATTGCTCGCATTTCCAACCATTACTTCCCAGCTATTAACCATAACTCAACTCACAAATGATAAATCAGTCTCACTTTTGGGTTTCTGCTCTTGCCAATTCCTTTCAAACAGAGCAATGCTAAATGAAAATGTTAATCTCTGTCATTTGATTTCTTCTATTCAGCCTTGCGAATAAATGCCGTTTCTCTTAATTATTTTATGACTGCATTTTTGTGCACACATGAACAAACTTCTTTAAGAGTTTAAGCCGCTGCGAGCAAGTAGAAATGCCCCCACAGTGCAAAAGAGGAACACGCTTCCCTTGTATATCATACAGACACTTTCTGTATTGTCTTTCAGGCACCAATTGAAGTTGTCCCTCTTTCAACAAACCCTCTGAGTAGATAATTTTTATCCCAGTTGGTAATAGTATTGAATTTGAATTGATTTAATAAGTGTGTTGTTTCAACACACACACACACACACAGCAGTACACACACAGCAGTACACACACACATTCCTACATGCAATCACTTTAGTAGTTTTTATATGTGCAATTATTCTGTGCATGTTTTCCTTGTAGAGTTTTGGAAGTTTCATAAATGAAACAAACAAACAACTGATTTGTGCAAGAAACCTGAACATGGCCATTCTCCATATTGCTGGTCACATCTAAATGCCTTTAACCACATGCACTGCTCCATCCATATCCATTAGTGCCCACAAAGGCAGCACCATCACACTAATGTTATGTGGGAATGAGCCAGTTCATACAAGTGCATTGCAGCCTTACAACCAGCAAACACACCCTGCATTAATCACATGAGGTACTCCTCTTCTTATTTCCTGAGAAACTTTCCAATAGCACCTCTCTCATAATACAGCAGAAGGGTGGAGTTGTCACTATGCCTTGGCTTTTATCCTGTGTCATAACACTTAATCAGCTCTATTCGCAGGAATCTCCCCACGCATATCTTCTGTCATGCAATGACTCCCAGGTCTAAGCTTGGACTCTATCAGAAAAAAAGCTCTTTCAGCTTTTGGGGATGCTTGCTAGAAGCTGACCCATGCCACACTTTTTTCTCTGTGTCGCCCGTCCTGTTCCATGGGACTATATTCTTTAACTGTTGCAAGTGCAACAGCAAGCTAAGCTAGCTCAGCTTCCAGTTCTGGAGGGCAGGAAAGGCAAAACAGATATAGTAATAGAATAAATTTATTATTTGTACCCCGCCCATCTGGCAGGGTTTCCCCAGCCACTCTGGGCAGCTTCCAACAAAGATTAAAAATACATTAAACTATCACACATTAAAAACTTCCTTGAACAGGGCTGCTTTCAGATGTCTTCTAAATGTCAGGTAGTTGTTTATCTCTTTGACACAGTGGCGTAGCGTGGGGGGTGCAGGGGGGGCCGGCCGCACCGGGCGCAACATCTGGGGGTTAGGGGCGCAAATCTACGGGTTAGGGTTAGGGTTCCACAGGGCGGGCGCCACTACCGAGAAGGCCCTCTGCCTGGTTCCCTGTAGCTTTGCTTCTCGCAGTGAGGGAACTGCCAGAAGGCACTCAGCGCTGGACCTCAGCATCCAGGCAGAATGATGGGGGTAGAGATGCTCCTTCAGGTATACTGGGCTAAGGCCATTTAGGGATTTAAAGGTCAGCATCAACACTTTGAATTGTGCTCGGAAACGTACTGGGAGCCAATGTAGGTCTTTCAAGACCGGTGTTATATGGTCACGGCGGCCACCCCCAGTCACCAGTCTAGCTGCCGCATTCTGGATTAGTTGTAGTTTCCGGGTCACCTTCATAAACTAGGGGAACAAAGCTTTCATAAGAGTCAGAATTGTAGAATTGTAGAGTTAGAAGGGGCCACAAGGGTCATCTAGTTCAACCCCCTGCAATGTAGGAATATTTCACCCAACGTGGGGCTAAAACCAACGACCCTGAGATTAGAAGTCTCATGCTCTACCAACGGAGCTATCTTTCATCTGGCTAGAATTTGTCCCTGTTAATGCCTCTTTGGCTGTCTGGATGGAGAGTTGTGTGTCTTCAAGAAGGGTAGAGATAACTGTGAAACAACCTCTGATGTACTTGCTATAGTCAGGAAGATGCTGAGGAGACATTTATTGTCCTAATCTCCCCCATCAGCATTTCCTTAACCCTATAGCCTCTTTTTGAACATTGTATTCTATTGGAAATTAACCTCATTGTTTCATGCGGCAACTGTTCCTGGCTCTTTCAATTAATCCAAGCTTTTCTACTTTTTAAAAAAAAAGTGTCAGAGGTTATTTATTGACAGCATGTTAGCTAACTACGGTCCTACAAAATTTCTATTTCTGCAGCAGATCCAAGAGTCAGTAGTATGGTTGAGCTCCAAGACTATGAAATGGCACTCAAGATTTGTTGCTATCGCTGCTTGCTCTTTTTGGTGAACA